CCCCCCCCCCCCCAACCAAGACCAAGAACCGCAGAACCACACCATGAAGTCCAAATATCACGGATCGCAACAACAAAGGCAACAAATACCGTGCGGATCCCATTGTATGCCCACACAGACATATTTTTCTATACCCGCACTTGGCCTGCACATACTTCCATACACACACACACACGCACATTATATATACATATGCATACACACACACACATATATATGATGTATGTGTGTGTATGGATGTATGTGCATATATATACCGTATACACACACCCAAATACGTGTGTAGACACACACACATACACACGCACGTACATATACACATACATAATACATATTATATATAATATATATTATGTATGTGTCTATATATGTATAAGTGTGTGTCTATGTATACTTTTGTGTATATGTGTATACATTTTTTTTCTGGCTGGAAACACGCGGGGTAAGAGCGAAACCGAGCACCAAGAAGCGCCACACATGTCCTTGCTCTGAGGTTTCCTTGCCCAGGCACCTGGAAGGAAGCGGTTCCCGCGGAGAAGGCAGGATCGGGACCATTTCATTTCGGGTCGCGAGCGGGACTCCCGAGTGGCAATCAGGCGCCCCGAGGGAAATCCGGGAGAGGCAGAGAGAGAAAGAGAGAGAAGGACAGGAGCGAAACCCCGCCACGTGCAGAGCCGTCACGCCGAACAGGCTACATCACAGAGAGAGAAAGAGAGATTTTTACCTCGCCTTTATTAATATTATTATTAATATTATTATTTTCCCTTTGAACTCACATTTGCAGCGGACCCGCACGGCGGCAAGTGTCGAGCGCTGGAAGGAGGCGGCCCTCGCTTCTTCGGTGCGCCGGCCCCCGCCCCCCAAGCCAGATCACCTCTTGGCCCTGCCTTTCCAGGCGAGCAGGAGGGCTGGAAGTCCCGCTGGCCCCCCGCCACCCTCCCGCAAACCCCGTCCCCCGAGCACCCCGGGCCTCGGCTTTGCAGCCTGTTTGTCCCCGCGAACGCGGGTGAACCGGATACAGAAATAAATAAGTGAATGGAGGATGGATGGAGGGGACGGAGCCGGAGGCCCGGGGACCCGCGCACGAATCACTCAGCCCGTGCCCCCGGCCGCCCCTCCACCAGTGCCAGGGCCCGGCGGGCAGTGGTGGGCTCCGCAAAGTAGTACCCGCGTCCCCCTCGCCCCCTGCCCTCCCCGCAGGTCCGAGCCGGGGTGTCGCCGGGCGCGCGGGGCCGCGGGCGGCGAGAGAGGGCTCGGCGCTGCGCAGGAGCGGAGTGAGGCCCGGGGGTGGGGGGGAACAAGACGGTAACCTGCCGCGGTGATGCGCCGCGCCGCCGGTATCCCTGCGCAGCTGGAGCCAGGCGGGGATGGGCGGGGAGCGGAGGGGGCGGGCAGCGCGGCCGGATTGGCTGCCGGCGGCGGAGACGCTCCAGCACGCCGCGGGCCCTGATTGGGCGGCCGGTGGGAAAGGTTCAACCAAAAATTTTTGTACAGCCCTAGTGCGCGTCCGGAGCTCGGGAATTAATTGTGCCCAA